TGTCTCTGTCTCTGTCCCTGTCCCTGTCTCTGTCCCTGTCTCTGTCTCTGTCTCTGTCTCTGTCTCTGTCTCTGTCTCTGTCTCTGTCTCTGTCTCTGTCTCTGTCTCTGTCTCTGCCTGTCTGTCTGTCTTTCTTTCTCTCTTGCTCATATCAGTGTGTGAGTGCGAGTGCGAGTGTGTGAATGTGTGCGTCTTTGCAAAATTCTGCAACTGATAATCTGATAATATTATATCAAGCTGTGTATGATGCTTCAGGGCCCGGCGTGGCCTTGCCACCTGTCTGTCTGATGTTCCAATGTGTTTTGTTGCAGCATTGCGTGTGTCACGTGGCTGTCGAGCATCGAGTCCTCAGTACATTTGCTTTCACACGGCCTGCGAATTCCGGTATCCGATTGCTGACACTCAAAGGTTTATCTGTCTGTTTGTCAGTCCGTCTGTCTGTCTGCCTGTCTGCCTGTTTGCCTGTCATGCTTGACCCACCTCTGCTGCTGGTTGAAGCGACGCAAGAAGGAGGCAATCGGAGAAGACTGCTTGTGCTCGCGCTGCCGTCGAGAATTCTCAGATGATTGACTCGCTTTCGGATGCTGTGCAGTCTGTGAGTGTGCTCGGTTGGATATGAATCTTGAGGGGATTGCGCAGACATCTGTGAAGGACGTGAAGATAGCTTCGATATTCCTGAGCATGGGTGGGGATGTCGCCACTGACCATAGCAATACTTCAGGGACTGCTTCGGTAACATGTGATCATGCTGATGTCACAAGCCTAGCCCCAGGCAGCTGTCCATTCGTTTGTCTGTCTGAGTTTACAAGTGCATGTGCGTCTGGATGCAGGGGGTTACTGTACTTCCGACAGTTTTGCATTTGGCAGCTATCAGCCCAACGTCTTGCATGCAACCCAACAGTTCTTGCAGCAGAACATTCCCTGGAGATCTTGCACAAAAATGCGACCCAAGAGTTTTTGCAGCAGAACATGACCTGGAGATCTTGCACCAAAATGCATGAAGTATTCGTGCGGTGGTAGAAACTGTAACATTACCCCACGCCCTGTTCTGCTCAACTCATGCATCCTGAAAGCGCGGTCTCGAAAGTGCATGCCGTATGCCCGAATAAAACTGCAGACCTGCTCGAGGCACCGACATTGACCTCGCGCCATCGAGAGGCTCACAGGTCAGCGGGGTTGTCTGGTGACTCAGCTACGGAACAAAGTTGATCAAGTAACGCTTAACTAGGCAAGCACTTGAGTCACCCGACAGTCAGCAGCGGCCGGGAACGGGAGGCTGGGGTTCAGGATTTTGAGGTTTGGAGCCTAGGAAGGGTTGTGTGCGACTTAATGCGGAGATCACTGTGCCAATAATGCCTGATCGTTCAGGGACCTATAGATACGTTGCTTAAGGTCCGCTTTGCTCTGTGGGATGAGGGTTTTTGGTGGAGTGTAGATTTTCGGAATGAAGGTTTGGGGTTTAGGGCTCAGGTCCCGGAGTTCAGGGTTAACCTTAGGGTTAAGCGGCCTTCTTGGCAGCCAGACCCATTCAGGTACCTCCAGCAAGGCGCATGTACCCATCGTTGTTAGAGCCATGCTAACAAACAAATATACAGACATACACACGGACAGACAGCAGGGGCAGGCAGGAGGCACCAGGCAGGCAGACAGGCAGCTTACTGAAGCTATTCGAATGATCCTTATTGTAAGGACCCCTTTGGAGGTGCCCGTCCTGTCACAACTTGGCCGAAATCAACGAAAGCATGTTTACATCCTTTATGAAACCCCTAGACATGCTACAACTCTTGAAAAGCTTTCAAGCAGCACCCAGCAAAAACCAGGTCGAGCTCATCGTGATTAACGACGATGCACCCGACCGTCTGCTGTGGGCTTTGGGGGACGAGGGCTTTGGGGGTTTCAATGTTAAGGGGGTTAAGAACTGGGTATCTGTTTGCTGCCAATGTTGTAAGTTTCCGTCTGCTGTTCTTGCATTTGTTGTCTGCTGCTGCCTCTGTTGTGAGTTTCCATGTGCGTGCTGTGCGCCGTTACCTTTTGTTTGTGCGTTTTTTTCACATTGTTTCTACGTTTTGTTTGTGGTCCGTGACGTTTTTTCTGTGAGTCTCACCTTTTCTTTACGTTTGTTTGTGCCTTGTACGTGTGTCGTTACGCTTTTTCTGCGTTTGTATTCACGTCTTTTTTTACGTTTATTCATATTCCAACATCCCAAGAGGAGCTTGGATGCGGACGACATAAGTCTAGTCGGAGTAGCTTCTTTTGCCTATGCCTCTGCCTCGGCGCCCAGGCCTCCCCCGGCTAACAGCCGAACAGATCCAACACAGTTAAAAAAGAGAGTCCAGGTGTTAGAGCCGTGCAAGCCTAACTAGAACGCACCCAGCGTGTGCCGCCTGAATGAAGCAAACTACTTGTGTCATTCATGCCAAGGTCGAGGGTGCAAGTCGCAAACTACTACTGATGAAGCCAATAAGTAGTTCGCCGTGTGCGCGTGTGTGGTTACCTGGGTGAAACATTGCATGATTTCACACTGAAAGCATCTGTGCTGAATGGAAAAATTTGGATTTGTGTAAGGGGTGGCAGAGGAGGTAGTGGAGAGTCCGGAGCAGGTGGGTGCCAAAGCGGATTGTGGACGGCGGGTTTGGCGTCGTGTCGTGCGTCGTCGTCTCGTCTGTCCATAAAGCGTCCGTCGGTGTCTCGTCCGTCATATCTTATGTCGCGGAAGGGTCATCGAATGATTCCAGACGACTTTTGAAGGATCATGGGACTTAGCAAGTCGGATTTATGTGGGGTTGGGGCGTGGAGAGTGGACGATTGCGTAAGTTACAAAGCGTGAAAAGCTTGCAGAACCGGAACCGCTCATCATCGAAACATTGCGTTGTGATCCCTTCAGTTTCAGCCATGCTGATACTCCAAATCAATGCCAAATCAATACATGTCCGTGCATTCTGAGTGAAGCACTAGCTAAGGAGCTGTGCAGCCAATGGGAGCAGACGGTGTTGCTTTTCGAGGAGCTGAGTGACCAAAGCCCCTGGGCTTTGTTTGGATGGGTTAGAGCAGCCTTGCTTGGGGCTTCAAGGGTAGCAACATGTGAAGCTAATTTTTCTTGCCTCTGCGGCGGGGCAACTTCAGACGGACTGTACGTTTAGTACAACCTTTTTTTCGGTGTTGAAAAACCCTGACCCTCATCCTAAATGGAAGATCGAGAAAGGTCTGGAGGTGGACGTGCTGACCTATACCACAATACTTAGTGCCTGCACACAGTGCACGCAGTGGCAGAAGGCGACTTTGCTTCATTGCTTTCGTCCCAACAGGGTCTGAGACGCACAGTCACCATAATTATCTTGCACGATAGAAGACAATGAGTCATTGAATGTCTTTCAAAGGATTTTGACTTGTGGTTTCCGTTGTGGATCAGGGACAGCGAGCGAAATCATGTTGCTGCATAAGTGTTTTTGCAGTGTGATGGAAGAAGCTGCAATAGCTGGAACCAAATTTTCGGCCTTCGACATCGATAGTGAGGACAGGATGCTTTAGCTACTGGTATGAGTTGACGTTCGAGAGAACAAAGCATACGTTAGCCAAAGTAAACTAACCAACGACATTTTATTATATGATCCTTAACGGGCGGGTGGTTCAAGGGAGGGTACATGGGGGCCGTTAGAGAGTGTCAGGGGATGCTTGGGAAAATTAGGCTGGCCATTAGGTTTTATGTCCGAAACGTCTCTGCATTGTAAGCTTTGTTCCCCACCATTGGACAGTAGCTTTCGGTCAATGTCTGCCCCCGAACTCCGTTTTCTCTTGACGTCATTAGGTAGAAGGCGATGGGTGCAAGTGCAAGTGTTACTCTGATTTTGCTACTATTGCATTGCTTGTCATGATTCCTGTTGTTGCCATTCGTGCTTTCACGTCACAACTCAGAGTGATGACCATGCCGAACGACTTCAGAAGCTTCGACGCTACAACGCTGAGTAAGCGAGCACTGCGAGACTCAAACCTTCAATCCCAGATCAGCCCGGAGACGTATTGCAAGCGCTCGAAATCGACATGACCTGTGCTCCCGCTCAAGGGCGTGGCACTGGCGGAGGAGGCAGTGAGCCTTTGTTTGGCAGATGATGCTTCACGCAAGCAGCAAGGCTTCCTGGAGGTTGGTCAGGTCTCATAAGACTTTCTCTGTTTCAAACGTATGATAAGTTGTTGCATGTGTTGTCCGACGCAGGGATTAATGTGGGCTTGCTTTCTCGAGACTACGATTCCCGCGCGATCTGGGTTTTCCTACGTACAATCTGCCCGGACCGCTGTGCTCCGGCAAATCTAACCTGGTCACCGGCCTCGAAACTGCTTGCGTCAAGGTTGGGCTCACGCTTGAGGGTGCCTTGTTCAACCCTGGTTTAGGCCACGTTTGAAGCCCAAACCACACCCTACCAGTGCCATGGTATTCCGTCTTCAATCTTCAACCCTTCCAAACTCAGGAAAAACTCTACAACGCGGCCATCAGTGCCTGTGGCGTCGCTCGGTTGCATCATCCGCCCACTTGCAGCGTAAATTGGAGACTTCTGCTTTAATGTCGGCCACAGACTGTTGAGGAAACGATCTAAACTCTAGGCTTGTAACTTAGCCAGACCTTCGGTTTCGACTACTTGTAAGCCAAGCCTTTTAAACTTCATCGGTGGCTTGCTGATGAAGGTCAAGCAGGGCTGCCCAGGGTTCCCAACTTCTTCAAGTCAGGAGTGTCCAAATTGGTAGTACGTAAGTATCTACAGGGGTAGCCCACACAGCCGATGTAGGAACTTCCATGATCTATCACGTAAGACATTACCTGAAGGTGGAGCCACTTTCTCTCGCAGAGCTCTCGCGTTACTTGTTGTCATGCAACATGCCGCGGCTTTCCGTGGCTTGCGTTGATTGCTTCAAATTAGCCTGGAGACATGTACGGTCCTCTGATTTCTGCCCGTCTGGTGTCAAGGATTTGGGGGTGTTGTGTTTCTTATTGTCTGCGGCTCCTCCTTTCTGTTAATGTGCACCGCGCCGGGGCCCGCACAGACAAAGAATCCATCGGTGTTTTTCCTAAGAAGCTTATTGCAGGGGTTCTTGTAATTTTGAATGAGAATGCCGACGTTTTACGCTGGAGCCTCAGCTTCTGCATGATGTGAACTTGCTTTTGAACGGCCGAACCTCTCCGAATGGGATCAGCTTGGTGTGGACTGCTCCAAACAACCTTTGCCTTTACGCGATCGAGGAGTTGCGCAAGCAACCCAAATCGTGTTTCATCAGTATTGAGAACCCGGCGAATTCTTGGATTTGGACCGTGCTTACGGCTTATTTTCCTGATTTCAAGGGCCCTTCTGCTCTCTCAAAACAATACATGTCTAATGTACTTTTCATCAACTGCATGGAAGGGGGAACCAGACCTCAGAACAGCCACTTGTGCTGCCTTGGTCCATTGCCGAGCTCCACTGCTGCCGGTGTCCGATGCTTCATCAAGCCCAGAGTTGTTGGTCGATGGCGCCAATGCAAGTCGAAAGAAGAAGTTTACAACTGGGAAACAGTGTTAGAGGGTTCGCTTGTGACATTTTCAGGGACTATCTCGCGACATCCATAAAGGGGGTCGGCTCACTTGCGACATATTCGCAAATTCACTGGCGACGTCCCAAACGATTTTGCTACACGTCTCAGCGACAGAGGTTTCGGGTCGAGAGCAGGCTCCCATCAACTCACTCAAGTTGCAGGCATTGACGGGCCAGTGGCGAGGCGAGGGAAGCATGCAGGCTGAGGTCCAGCTCAGGTCGCCTTGACGCAACACCCCTTCTTGTCGCACGCCGTCGAGGGGGGGTCTCACATCCGGCCCTGATTCTGGCAACGTCAGTCATGTTTGCCTCCATGTTGGCCAGCGGTGACGTCCACCCCGATTGCATGAATGATCGAGGCCGACCGCAGTAGTGGGACAAAAGAAGCGCATCGACTGACCAAATGCCTGCAAAGCTGCACTTGAAGATGCGTCGATGCATGCCAGAGAACAATCATTGTGATTACCCGTGAAATCCTAAATTGTAGCCGGCGAAGTGATGTACGCTTTCCGATTAAACCTCGAAAACTCTTGCCTTGCCAACAAATACGAGGCCTACAGCCACTGAGTCCCGTCCACGGCGCTCGTTTAGCTGTTTGTAGAGTAGCTTGGGCGCTGTGAGCGTACTCTTTGAGCCCTCAGATCAGAGAAAGTACGGTACACACATGTCACTCTTAAACCCGATCCTGGTCCCCAGGGCTGTTGCACCTTTGTTCAGACGTGCTATGTATAATATGTGGAATTTAATGATTCGGATATCCCCCAAATTTTCGCTTTTCCTTTCAAAAACCTCGAGTCCCAAGCCCGAAAACGACTCTCTTCCCGAGGAAGGCAACCACTGGCGCCGGGGTCTGGCGTTCTTTGAGGAGCTGTTGTCCAGCGGTCTGTGCCTCCGCCTGTATCTTCTGGCCTCTTCTATGGTTGATTTGATAGAAGCCTCTTAGATGGCTCGTTCATTGAGTGATGCGTGGTGATGTTCGGAAAGTCTTCGGGCTTTTTTTACACCTGTCATCATCTTCGAATAGTTTGAAGAAAAGCAGCTGCTAATCCGTAGATTTCGCCCGAAGCCACGACTCGGCCAACCCGGTTTTGTTCAAATCTCAAGTTCCGGACCCTTGGCTCAAGGATTGAAGTTCCGCATCGCGGAGAGTCGGAAGGTTTGAGGCTCAAGTTCTGAACCCGCAATCAATCTTGAGGGGGCTTAGACTGGAACCAGACGTGCCCACCCTTTGCATCGGCTTCGGTGTATTGCAGATAGAATCCTGGAATTCGGAACTACCGCCGCAAGTCCCAAACCCCAAAGTTTTTGCGATTGTCATGGATTTTTTGGATTTGTGTTCGGTTGCGATCTGCAGCATTCAGAGATCACATCAAGGGGCTGAACCCTGAAGCGTTAAGATCGCACGACGTGCGCCCGTTCTGGAGGGAAGTGCCATGTAATCCGTGTGAAAAAAATAGGCCATAAGCAGGTCCCTGAAACATTGAAAATAAGACCGCAAAAATAATCTGCCGAGGTGTGGTGCCGGACTTGAGAAGACCCTGCTCATTAGTATGTTGAGCCTTCAGCCTACATACTCAGAATCACAGAGGGCTGTGACCAAATGTGTCGAATTGCAAACTAGTGAGTCTGGGATTCCTATTGGGGTTCTTTGGTGCCAGAATCGACATCCATCTAGCATGCCCGCGGGTATACGCGGGACTGTCCGACATTCATCTTTCGGTTGGGTGTCCTTTTCCGACCAGCTGTCAGTGCTTTGCCAGATGAGCAGTTCATAATCAGTGTCGGTATAATTGGGGAAAGACCCCATCATACCGACGCCGACTGTTTCAGGCAGGCAATCAATCAATCGACAAGCTGGTTCAGGGATTCAGGGTTTTAATCTGTAAAGTCTGCAGCTGTAGAGCCTGTTGGGTAGGTTTTTTATAGTGTTTGGTGCTTGCGCTGAGCATCAGGCCCGTGGACATCGCGAGCTGTAACGCAATGATTGGCGCCTGCGACAGGCCTGGCCAACTCCAAGCAGTGTAGCAGGGCAGCTACGGTAGGGAGCATGCGAAAGGCTTTGCGACCGCTTATATTGTTTGCTGTGATGAACTGGCTTCTTCAGGAAGGTCACTTGTTTTGAACTTCAGGTATTCATACATAAGTCGCGATTTCGACCAAGGCAGAGCATCATGCGACGAGGAGGGCACCTGCGATTTCCATGAGCACACATATGTCACTGCTCCCAGCAAGGACAAACGACTATATTCTACCGAGCGTGGTATGCCATAGTTTATGCCGGTGGGAATCATGGGCATGGCATAAAGGCATAAAGATCAATACCGGCACTTTCAGAACTGTTCAACACTGGCCCACCAAATGGCAATGCCCTGAGCCCCGGCAACTTCACGAGCGTCGAAATGCTAACATCAATAACATGAGCCGGTATCTTGTGGAACAAAGCAGGCATGGCTGCCTCTGCCTCAACATACCCGAAGAGTGTGCGTTGTATCGGGTGTACATTCGCATCCATGACCATCCCAAAGCGATTCACCGCCCTAAGCCTCCCGTACATCCGAGCATTTTATGGTATCCTCTTCCTGCCTTTACTATGCCCACGACCACTCCACATTTATTGCCCGGTTCTGATTACGACCATACACACACCGCTCGGCCTGCTGACCTGAAACATGGCCGCCTTTCATGTACGAAAAAGGTTTTCGGACAATGACATTTCGAGTTTAGGACTTCGGGCCTTGGTGAAAACAGCCGTCGTGCTTTTGGGTAGGCTGTGACCGTCAAAGTACATTGAAGCGCGTAAGCCTAAATTGGTATCCTTCCGAACTGCTTTGCCCTGCACCCGAAGCTCCCCATCGCTAACCATCTGTATCAAGCTTGGAACCCCAAAACTCGAGCACCACGTATCCTCCTAAATCCTCCAGTCCTCCGCCTTTGATCCCATCTAGTTGAGACTCTAGGCTTCGGATACCCCGCTAAAGCCTATTCCCCGAATACTGTAAGAGGACCCCTCACAGTGCGTCACGACCACGAGCAGCAGCCCCGACATCCTAAGCTGCAACCCTGAAACGCTCAGGACCCTAAAGTCTTATATCATGCGTTATTTTCTTTAGGATCCTTCAACTTTAAGCGATTCCCTCTCTGGCGCGAGGGCCGGTTCTTGGAATTTCGCGCTGGCGATGCCCCTCGCCGCCGGAACATGGGTTCAGAAGTGCGGAAGTTGTCGTGGATCCGCTCATTCTCCTCCGCTCTGTGCAGTCCGGCTGGGCTGCCACAGTCTCCTGCAAAGTGTTAGCGTGGGTCAGCAACTCAGCCTCCCCAAGCTCACCTGCAACATCCGATCGGAGAGGTTCGATTAAGTTGGTCTTGGCGGTTTGGTACAAACGATTGTGGTGCAGCATGTCGCAGGTTGATTTTGCGATTGGCTGTAGCTGCAGCTTGGAGAAGCCTCTCCCCGATGTTGAAATTCGTCCAGACCCGACTTGAAACGACTCGAGACCTCCGACCTCCAAGAGAAAACCAGCTTCCCTGGAGTTGAAAGCTTCAGAGTTCGATGCCCTGCAACCGCCACATGCCGCCGTGCAACCTCTACACCGTAACACACCGTAACACCCTGACCCCACAAGGCTTGAGTCGGCATCCAACATCGCCTTGCGGCCGACGCCCGGCTTTGTTAAAGCGGCAGAGTTTGGGATTTCGTGCGGGTGATGCTGGGGGGTCGAGGCGGCGAGAGTTTTGGTTTTGATTTCAGGGGCTTCATGTGCTGGCGGCTTCGGGCCTCTGGGCTCGGGATGTGCGAGTTTTGCTATGGCCGGGAGGGTGTTATTGGATGATGAGCATTATTGTAAGTCCTCGGCGTGGGTCAGGGGCGAAGGCCGCCGGGACCCTTAGTGCATGGGTCTTTGGTCGGGTTTCAGGCTGGCGAGAATGGCCCCAAGCCTTCTGAGCATGAAGCAAGACCCTGTTCGCCTGCATCCCTTGCATCCCCTCTGCCTTCATTCGCAATGCTGCTTTCGTGGGGGAGCCAATCTGCAGGGTAGCCGAGTATCCAAGTGCAGCTGACTTCTAGCAGGACCATTCTCACGTACGCCGCGGCATTTCGTGCCTTGGCCAACGACAGCAGCCGCAGCAGCACAAGTACTGGGAATGATGCTACAGCGCTATCGTGATAGTTTTTTTGAAGGAGTGGCAGTGGCAGTCGCAATAGCAGTAGCCGTAGCGACAGCGACAACAGCAGAAACAGCAGTATGTCTAGTTAACAATAATCATCATGAACGTTCTTGAGCTGAGCCCGTTCACGGAAAGGGTCTGCCGGGATCCGGGTTGCAGTTCTCACTGCTTCGGACCTTTCAAACGGTAAAGCCCTTCAGCCGTAGCAGATATAGATACACGAGGCTCTAAGTTTGTAGAAAAGCCACAGGCTGCACTTCCAGTACTGAAATTTGTAGTTTCATGCCAAACTTTGGAGGGTGCAGTGGTGGCCGGCAGTAAGAAGCTGCAGTCTTCAACCTGTGGCCGAACAATTGTCGTCAAACGCAAGGTTTTACAGGGTCAAAACTGTGCCACTTTGCCGCCCGTCAAGCCCGTTGCCACCCAGGTTCTTGCGAAAGGGGCGAACAAGAACGATCTGCTTTGCGACTTGCTTGGGAACTGTCAGTCTGACTCCATGGAAGGCACAGGTTTCAAGCCTGCGTCTTTCGGCTTCAGACGGCTTTGGACTCCTCTGTTTGAGACAGTCGCAGCATGGGTTATTCTAGATTGCAGGGGTTCACGTTTCGTCATGTTGGTCAAGGTCTGTTGGCTTATGATGGCCTGTGTCAGGTCGTTTCTCAGGGAGTTGCACGCGACGGCGCTGTGGACCTTGAAAGCTTGAGCACTGCGGACCAGCAAAAAAGCGTGAAGTCACATGGAGGCCTGATTAGGCTTCGGTGCTGGTTGAGGGACCACTGGCCAATTTTCCGTGAAGCCGAAACCCCGACACCGGAAGCTTAGATGCCGAAGCCTGAGCTTCGCGAGCAACAGCCTTGCATTGGGCACAAAGGTTTCGGATCTTGGAGGATCTCACCTCCTGGCACAGGTGCTTGCAGGAGTTTCAATGTATGTAAACGTCAACCTTGGAGCTCCAGATGCCCCTTTGCGGCCACGTCAAGTCTGTAGGGAAAGAGAGCTCGGGCCGCCGAGGATGCGCACCTTCGCCAGCTCTTTCAACTACGGTGCCCCGGCTCAGCTGGATCCTCCCGCAGCCTAGAGAACAAGTGTCCAGCTTGACCTTTTTGCAGATGTTTCGAGGGTAGTACGAAGTGTTGTTTGTCTCGGTAGATAAGACTGGACAGGGGTTTGCTTGTCTCAAGTTCAATGCTGTCAGGGTTCTGACATTCTGACGCATGAAACACATTCGCTTCTTCGATAGACTGGTTTCGGTGTTCAAGCAGTTCAGATCAGTCTGGAATGTACAGGTTTTTCCCTTGCCCAAAGGCCGGCAGCCTCAAACCCGACCCATCAACAAGACCTATGTCGAACTCCAGGTGTTGGCGTCACAAGCACGCTCATCGAGCATAAAGGTAGCCAGCTGAAGGCCCGAGTGTAGTTCCAAGGAGTTCGGATTTGGGATTATGGACTCCGGGCACAGGGGCATAGAAGATAGTAGGTACATTTGGGGGTTCTATGGGCTCTTACTGCCATGTCAAGGCCCACTTTGAGGGCCGCGAGCCTTTCAGTACAGGGCAGGATCTGTTTGGGTTGTTGGCATGCTTGGGCCTGCAGATTTTGGCTTGGGCTTTTCCGCTTTGAGATGTCAGACGTTGCAGGGCCTTGGCATTTCAAACCAGGCATGCTGTCATGCGTCAAGAAGTGGGGCCACCTTGCATTCTCAGGCTGAGGGCACTGAGCTTAAGCAGTTTCAGGTATTGTCGGTTCTGGTTTTGTGGCCACTGCGTTTACAGTTCAGCCTCCCTTCTGCTTTGAATTGTTTGCCGCCCAGAAAAACGACATCCCCATGTCACTCACGATTCTGACGGTTCTCAAACCTCATGATTTTGGTGGCCGAGGGATGCTTGGGGAATGAAGGGGGCGCCGGCTTGATGATTGCCGGACCAAGGGGTGCAGGCGGCAGGCATTTTGAAGTGCATGGCTTGACAGTCAGGGTGAACCCAATGCTTCACGTTAGCATGCAGGCTGAAGCTTGCGAGGCTGTTTAGATGAAGCGCACTCCGCTCCAAGAAGCGAAGAAAGCCAGAGGAATAAGAAGAAGAACGGCCGATGTGACTTGGGCCGGGTGCGAAGCCTTTGAAGGCCTTGCATGCCACATTGAATCTTCCCCCAACAACAAAAGCCCAAACCACACAACAGCTCATTCTGCAGATACCTTAAACGTTGCTGACCCTTGACCCTGAACAGCTCATTCTGCAGATCACGATGAAGACTCCAAAAGGAACCTCAACATCGCCTGCGCCCAAGCAAAGAGGAAGTTCGTCGCTCATTCAGGGCTACGGGAAGTACGTATATATTTGAGGGTGTATGTACCCCAGTAATCGCAGGATCATCGTACTTGTGCACTGTTTTTAATCCTTTGCTGGACTTCGTCTGATGTGTCATCGATCCTCTAGCCTTGGCATTTGCACCGGAGCCCGGGGTGTCCTGCTGCCTTTAGAAAGTCTGCAATGCTTCAAGTGTGCTGTGCATTCTGTCTCAACATAGGCGTATTCAAGGCCCGCAATTTGCCGCAGAAAAGCACAAAACTGTCGACGTGCGAAAATGAGGCATCTCCACCCTGACCTCATATCCCATTTCCGCTTTGGGCGCTGCAAGTTCAGGTTATCCCATGATGTCACAGCATGTATAGAGCTTTTCACAAGTGCTGCCCGAAGGGTGGGACTCCTCTCGACAGTGCAGCCTGCAGGCTAGCGGAAAACATAGGGCGTTGCGTGCCTGGTAGGGTTGACCTAGGCCCCTGGTCCTCTTGTCCCCTGGTCCTGCGTGACGGCAACCCGCTCCGGTCTCTTTTTTAGCCTTGCCGCGCGTCGCCCGGGTCGCGGGCCGCAGGCTGCGGCCCGTGAAAAGTTGGGGGGTTTACCACATGACATCTATGATGAACCGGAATCGCCAATGCTCGAGACATGTGGTGAGGGGCGTGTTTAAGATACGTGATGAACTTCGGTCGCCACATGAGGGGGCGTGTTTAGGAGTTTTGTTGAATCGCCCAATAGGGGCAGGGGTGTGTGTTTAAGATTTATGATGAACCGGAATCGCAACATGAGGGGGCCTGATTAAGATATATCATGATGAGCCGGAATCGCCACATGAGAGGGCGTGTTTAAGAAGTATGATGTACCGGAATCGCCAAATGATGGGCATGCTTAAGACCTATGATGAACTGGACTCGACAAATGATTTGGCGTGTTTAAGATGTATGTTCAACAACAACAACAGCAGCAACAACAACAACAACAACACAATCTGGAGTGTCTGTTAAGCACGCGTATGCATTTGTGTGTCTGCGATTGTGCGCACGGAATGCAAAGTACCTCCCCAGGCAGGCAGCAAGACACCATCGACAATCGTTCACACATAACGAGCTCCCTGTCAGTGTTTTGTGTTGCTATGTCAGCCCCACTCCCAGCTTGTTTAAGCTACCGTGCAAGTTCGCTTCAAAGTGACATCCTGCCAGAAAAAACGGCGTGCATATGAATCCTTTCAGAACCCCTGATAGAGACATTGTGATTGCAAATTGGAGGGTCTGCGCCGCCCCCACACCTCCCTGCTCTGTTTTCAGCCCTGCCGCGGCCGCGGGTCCGTGAAAAGTTGGGGCGCGGGTGTAGCAGTTTAGCGAAAGTGAAGAATCGGAATTGGCAAATGAAGGTGCGTGTTCAAGATATGCGATGAGGGGGCGTTTTTAAAAATGTGGTGAAGCGGTCTGGCCCAACTGGGGGAGGGAGGCGTGTTTAAGGTATATGATTAACCCGAATCGCCACATGAGGAACGTGTTTAAGATATATTATGATGCACGGGAAGCACCATAGGAGAGGGCGTGTTGAAGATATGTGATTAGCCGGAATCGCCACATGAAAAGGCGTGTTTAAGATGCATGATAAAATTGGATCTCCAGATGAGGGGGGATGCTTAAGAAATATGATGAACCGGTCTCGCTGCATGAGGACCGTGTTTAAGAATGGCCTGGCCCAAAACAATACCCTGCAAGTTGGAACCTGCAATAGTTTGACCGCGCAAAAACATGCAAATTGCAATTCCCCAATAGCTTGATGCAAAGCTTGACGCAAAGCAAGACCCTGCGCAGTGTAATTCCCAATAGCTTGATGCAAACAAAGCAAAACATGGTACTTCCTTGTGTCAAGCTAGCAGCGTTTCGCTTTGCCCCAAACTATTGGGGGAGTGCAAGCTCGAGTTTCTTGTCTTGTGTCAAGCTATTGGGGAATTATATTTTGCAGGGTCTTGCTTTGTTTCAAGCTAGTGGGGAATTACAATTTGTAGGATTCTGCGCTGTGTCAAGCTATTGAGGATGATATTGTTTTGTCCCAAGCTATTGGGGAAGTGCAATTTCGAGGCTCCTGCCTTGGGTCAACTTATTGGGGAATTACTATTGCAGGGTATTGCATTGCGTCAAGCTATGGACGACTTCCAACTTGTAGGTATTGTTTTGCCCCAAGCTATTGGAGGCGTGCAATTTCGTGGCTCCTGCCTTGTGTCAAGCAATTTGAGATGGGAGCCTCGAAATTGGAATCGTAGCAAGTGCTGCAATTCGAATAGGATTTTGAAGTATGTAGTTTCATACATCGTACAGTTGTGTTAAGAAGCCCCTACGCACTAATGTTGGCAAATTGCCCAGGGTCTACATCAATCTGTCTATCTACTGTATTTGCAACCAAAAAACAAGAGCCAACGTCAGCAAATGAGACTGGGGACCGCCAGCGTTAGGAAAAAGAACCCTCCGCCGCTGTAGTGCACCACATTCAGGCGCGTAAGTGGTGGTGGGCAATTGAATGACAGCTGGACGAGATTGCTTCAGGTTACAAAGAGCACTGTTCATCCAGATCTTTAAACCACAAGGGCTCAACGTTCTGTTGCAAGAACGTCCGACCCAAAGCCTTGCTTGCAGTTAGACGCGCGAGGACAGGAAGTCCAAGCTCACATGCGCTCGCATGAGAGTATAGGATCTTCCCTAAGCCTGACGATACAGGGTGATGGTACGCGGTCAAGCCGAAGAAAATGATGAACAACAACCCAAATGCTCCTCGCTATCGTACTCTGCTGAGCCTACGCCAGACATGTGAAGACCCTAGCTTAGGACGATCCACATCAACGGCACTGAACAGGGCTCGGCGGTTGCCTCAGCCCACCAGGGAACCAGCCCGCATCCACAGATTGCTTCCATCGTATAAGGCTCCGACAGCATCAAGCTATGTGAGTGTCAAGATCAAGCCCGGGATTGAGTCCTAAATTCAAGGGCTTGGGTAGGGCACGCAGTTGTAGTAGCCTTCAAGCAAATTTTACTGAGATTCAGCCCAACAAGGTACGGAGAGGGTGATTTGGGGCTCTGTTGTGCACATAGCCTACCCGAAACGCCGAAACAAGTCTCACTAAGCTTTGAATTTCAATGGTGAACCTTAGCCGCCAAACTTTGTGTTTCTCCTTTAGGCTCACAGCTTCCCTTTGTTATACTCTGGTCCCACGTCTGCTGGCACACCCTGAACCTTTCCACATCTCAGATTTGAAGCTCAAGCCCTAAAAAGTTCCAGCCGCACCAGAAATTTATGGTTTGCCGAAACCCACCCTTCCATCATTGGCCTGGGCGTCGCAGAGATTCCACTAACGCTTCGTCTTCCTGAGAGGTTCACAAGGATGTTGGGTTGCCCCAGCACGGACGCTTGAGTTCAAAGCTGGGCTGGAGATGGAAGAAACAAGGTCGATCCTATGGAAGATCGGCCTTTACGGGTGCGGCCTCAGTGGGAAGGTGCGCCCGGTCTGGGATCTTGAATTTTAACCCTCACAGCCCCTTGAGTCTTAACTCGTGGGCTGCGCGTTTCTGAGTTTTGCAGATTTCGGTTCGGACGCGAATTGAGGCTTCTATCCTTAAGATTCGATCTCAAGGTGTCGCATGTAGGCACATCACAACCTGGCCCTGCCGTGTAGCTTATTCTGACACCTTCCCTGCCTTTTTGTCTGGTTTCGTCCTCGCATCGATTTTAAACGCCAGTCTGCTGAAATCATGGAAACAGGCCAAGCCCAACTAACCCCACAACCTTGAAACCAGACTTTGCCACCCCGAAGCATGTACCTTGAGGTGCAAGTTCCTGTTCAGCCGCATGTTTCCAACGCAGGTGAAGTGAGATTAGGGTAACATGAGCAAGACCACGCACTTCCGTGTTGTACTGGTGTCCGTCCGGGCTTGCAAAACACAGTATGGCTTTCCAGAAATGCACAAACGGAAACATTTGCGTGTACGTTGAGTTCTGATGCCCGGCGAAAGGCAAAGTATTGGTGGTCTCAAGCAGGCCACGAGCTGCTGGCTTGCTGAGGGTTCAAGTTGAGATTGGAGTTTAGGGCTCCAGGAGCAAGTTGCAAATAGGTTTGCAATTTTTGCAAGTTTGGGGTGTGAGAGCTTCGGGTCTGATATCCTGACGTGTAACTACACCTTAAACCGAACTACCAGAGAGCAAGTCTGTCTCCGAACACCCAAGTCCTCACTGGCGAATTCCGCCGTCATTCTGATGTTAAAAGCTAACGGTTCTTCGGGAGGGCGTAATTTTTTTTGTTCCCTGACCTACAAGTCCGTCATTCAGTAATTACTTGCTCCTCCAGTCCCCTGTTCATCTGTTCATGGTGTGCACTACCGACTTGAGCCTCGTCGCCTTGGCGCTTTGTGCTATGCAGAATTCTCCACGGTCTTAGCATGACTGTGTGGGTGTTCTGCAGTTCAAGGTTTGCAATGTGGGATGCAGAATCTCCAAACACGAAACCACCTTCGAGGCGCGCAGACTCTGCAAAGTCTTTGCCGACAAATCGGAGATTTCTGCAGGGTGTCCAGATGTCAGAAGCTCAGCTCCGGTTGAAGTGCATGCCAACAGTACGGGCTTTTGCAAGGCGAATCAAATTCTAAGGCAGATGCACAACTGGAATCATCCAATATACCGCACCCTACATCCGCATCAATACCTTTAAATCTAATCCTGCGTGTCTGTTTGATGCTCCGACTTTGGATCCAATGCGTGAGAAATTCAGGATTGTGGAATCCACCACCCAGTCAGGCTTGGTCACGCGGCGAATATTTGAAAAATCTGTTCTTGAGATGGAAGGCTGAGACAGGCTATAGGCTCAATATTCGATATCACTTTCAGGATATTTTTAGTATTTTTGTTTCTAAACATCGTTTGATTATGATCAATGTCTGCTTTTTCATTGGAAAAGTAGTTCTTGATAACTCGTTTATTTTTTTAAGATTTGGCTCGATCAAAAGTAACTACAAGAATTCAAGTTTATATTTTACATTAATAAGATCTTATTTTAAAACAATTGTAAGTTGCATAGTTAATTGTTATTATTATTAAATCGGAAAAATATTATTGAAAAGAAAAATGAACGATGAGAAGTGAAATAGCATCGGTTGGAAATGATATTTCAGTTTTTATATAAAATGATTGTATTTCAAGAAAAGATATAAAGTAGATTGGTATGAGTTGAAAATATCGTTTCGTTTTTGATAATATATAATAATATATATATATATATTTATTTATTGTCGGGTAAAACAAATGTTTCTGGTGTATTATTGATCGTAGTGAAATATTGTGTCGAAGCTTATTCGATTAAATTATCGATTTAAATATTTTTTTGATTGAAAAATTTATAATGATGGCTTTTGATATTTTTTGTTAGGTTTTTTATTATATTTTTTTGAAGTCTAAATTTTGATTATAATTTGAAAGGAGAAAATTCTCTAATAAAATGGTGTCGTGTTGGTCGCCTCCCTTTTTTTGTGCGCGCCCTTGGCCCCTGGAACCTCGTACTTTGGCGCTTTTCCTTTTGAAAGCCTCTTGCGTGCCTGTCTCGCGGTACTGAAATTTCGGATATTTTAGTACCGGGAACAATTTTTCCCGCTACTAAAATTTCCGAAATTTTG